GGGCCCAAAACCGCTCCCTCTTAATCAGACGGATCAAAGGAACGACGAGAAAGTGGACAGAACCATTGAACCAGTGGGATCAGAAGATAGCGTCGCGTTTGAGGATCGGTCACAGCAAGATCTCGTACAATTTCGGTGGAACGCTGTTCCACAAGTATCAGAACCTGCGGGAACTCCACGGGCTACCAAATAACATACGCGACATGCTGGGTGAGATGAACCCTCCACACTGGCCGCAGTAATGCGCTTTTTAAAGGATGCTGTATTGTATTTTAAAGTTTAGTCTTTTTTAAATTCCTTTCGGCTGTTGGGACATCTCTGCCTGATGGGGGCCCTCCCGGTTCCCCCGGTGCTAACAGAATCTCTTCGTCGACTTTCTCCTGGAGACTTCAGTCGACGGCCGCAGAAAAATCTCGGTGGTGTATAGTAAAAACGGGACCGAACCACGACCATCCGGAAGGCCCAGCAAAAGCGAGGATGGATGTCCTTCGTCAGCAGAACGGCACCGTGGTAATTCAGAGCTCGGTTCGCAGTTCCATCCAACGGCAGTTTGCCAAGCGATGGGAAGAGATTGCTTCGACGAGTATCGATTTTGAGTTTTTGGTCAGGTTTTTCTACCACATCAACCAGATAAGGATATGACCGTCGTAAGTGTAAGGTTGCAACAGGTTCCTTTCATATCTCTTTTTTAAATATTTCTAAATAGAGCTGGAATTAGCAACAATCAAAACGAAACTAACGATTTTAAATTGGCTCACTACTTAACTAGCCTATTGGTCCCAAGCAAATCGATTAACGTACCCCATTCTAGTCAACATTCTAGTACTACACAATGTTTGTTTTGATTCGCTATGAAAGTTTGACAGATAAAATGAGGGGTTAGTGGATTTTCCTATGTTTCGATGGGTGAATCGACGATAGTACCAGAGCTGAGCCAAAAAGTTGAGCACGTTTCTTCGGGACCTTCTGGTCTTAGAGTTACCTCTATGGAATAAGCGTGTAACAGTTTTTTGTAAACAATGACTTCTCTCGATGATTTCTAGAGAGTCAAGACTCGCCCATGCTAATCAACAATACCATCGGGAAGACTTCCTTTACATGATGGTTATGTTGGTTTGTTTGGGCGTGCCTTGATTTCCTAAAAATCGTCGAGAAAATTCATTGTTTACAAAAGCTGTTACGCTCTAATTCCAGCTCTATACAGATTTGTTTATGAACAAAAATTTAGAGCTCTACCAACAATACAGAAGGGCGGATCAAACAAATTGTAATGATCTTATCTCGTAAACCGATGCTCACCTAACCAATTGAACACCACTATCGAATTGTGGAGAATTTTCCCTGTTTTTTTTGGTTTGCCTACATAGACAAAAAAGTTGTTGAATATTACATCCAAACTGCTGCAACCAGGTCAATCCATCGGTTGTGTAATATAACGTTGTACGATGTACATCGATTTTGCGAACAAAATTACATCCATTGATGTAATATTGTACCTGCCTTTTGCTATTACATCATTATTTCATACGTCAGCTTGAATTACATTGTTCGATATTACATTTTTTTTGCTGTGTAGGCGAGCTTTGGTTCACGAGAAAAAGTTTGATTTCAAAAGCTTAATTGCCTTTTTTTGTTGGTCAATATTTCGTGATGTTCCTTTCTTATAAACAAACGGATGTCACCCAGGCTAGTGACAAGAGGTGACAAGGTCTACACTCAAAAGATATTCAAATCTGAATAGATTAAAAGCTACGCTAATTCACAACTCTCCTGACCGACGCATAGCTTTGTATAAAGAAAGAGAATACACACTTAGTATAAAAATGGTTTACACGAGAATGTGTATTTTTGAACTTTATACATGCAATGTTTAAAGGAGATTTATTCATTGTGTTGGTAGAGAGGTGATTTTGTTTTGATTTCATTTATAAATGGATTCCAGATGTTTGAATAAAATTAAAATGACAATCATTCTAAGAGTTTATTTAGATTTGCATAAATGTACAATATTGTTTTTGCTGCAGCATGCAAAACTGAAATGAAGGTCACTCGGCTGTTTATAAACATATGTTGGGGCTAATCTAGTTGATTTTCTTTCATCGTGAATAGCAACAGCGACGTAATTGGACTGCCTCCAGATCATCTCCAGATGGTTGATGGTGGCAAGTTCAATAATCTTGGCAAAGAATTATGTTTTCCAGGGTTTTGTTTTGTTAGTTGTGGTCTTAACTGCTTTTCAGCTGTTAAAGATTTCCGAAATTGGACGGCACCATCTGAAATCAAATAATAGCAACATATTTTGGAATTAACATTAAGGAAACTCGAAGAATATAGGGGAATTCAGTGAAGACCTAAGAAACACTTACGGGTAGGTACTGTTGAAGGAACATTTGTACGACTGCTTACTCTCCATGTAGGTTGCTCCCCAAAGGACTGTCCAGCTTGTGCTCCTCCATGGTTTCCTCTTCCTGCAATGCGGATTCTAAGTTCTGGTTCTGCAGTTGACTGTATTCCAAAAAAGTACTGGACTAGTCTGCGAAATGCTTCCAGACGGAACCGGGCCGGTTGAATCATTTTCAACGGAGGGAAAGCACATCAACGCTACAAATAAATATTCCTGAATCGAACAGTTCTATTTTATAATAACTAATCATACTTACTGCAAGTTTTCTTTCCACAGGTAAAAGAATTGTACTAGACATTTATCGCAAAATGTAATCACCGAAACCTTTTCAATGCCATAAGTAGCATTAAAACAAGTTATTCGATGTCATGTATAAATAGAAATTTAAATTGATCACTTTTTAATCATAGAGATGGGTATACAAAGCTTAATAAACAAAAACATAAATTTTATTCTATTTCCGATTAGTTATATTTTTAAGTGTATACCAACAGCAGCGTTTGACAGTAGGCAGCATGTCCCGGGCTCAAAACATTTATTTTGCTGTGTTGGGCCCGCTGTCACCGTATAACATGTTGCCTATGCGCCTGCCACTGGGCTGATGTCATCGCTACCTGTCATGATAATTATAGAGAGATGACCCGATAACAGAGATGTGAACGATACAAAAAGATATTAATCGTTTTTGGAGATTTAAACTCGATTATATCAAATATGATCGATAAAATGGATTCGTCCGACTATGCACCGATTTATTGAACTTTAGAGGTGTTTTTGGCAAAGTTTGAATAAATCTGGGACTTGCGTCCCCCTGCATGTGCAATTTTTTTCATTAGTTAAATTTGTAACGAAATTTGATGAATTGAACAAAACAATTACATGGAGCCGTTTAAGTGAACAAGCTTCTACGTCCTGAACTGTTTGGATAACAATAATGTGACACAGAATGCACGAAATTACACTTTTTTACCAGGTGAATCTTGACGAAAAATTGAATGAGATTTTGACGAAGGCTTTTTTTTAGGGTCAAGTCTATCAGTTACTATGTGAAAAACAATTTTGTCAATATCGCGCGAAAGTCCATCAATGACAATGACAAATCTCAGCACTGCTTCTGATACTATAGACTTCTCTGACGTTTGTGAAATGCATAAGTATTAGTGCAGAACTTGGGGTTAATTATAACACAGAGAACAGACATCCAAGTCAAATTCCTAAAGTGTGTAAGAAATTTAACTGCTATTTTGAATAGACATTTGAAACTAGCAATATCGTGGTGGCGCTAGTGTCGCTGTCCATCGACGTCGATGACCGGCAGACGTCATCTTAACATAAATGTCAAAATTGTTGTGAGCAAAACATTATTTGTTTAAAACCGATCAAAACATGGGCCGCAAGAGCTAGTTTTATGGATGCGCAAATAAACCAAGCGAAAATCTTTTCACAATTTTCCTATGGATGCTGATTTTCCCGAACTACAGGAGACTTTCTTCTCACGTGGAGTCCAAGCGCTTGTAACGAAAAAGCTATGTTCCCTTTCCCCCCAGAAGGCTTTTCGAATTCCTGGACAAACGGATGCAGGGTAAGCAGTGTTCAAATCTTACCACATTTTTCTGAATTTAAATGAGGGCTAATTAGAGTTCACACCGTCACTGAATCATTTGAAGATACGCCGCCAGTAAGTATTGGTACGAAAAACGGTTGTAGATCTACAGGAAACTGTAAAAGAGCTTAAAGTAATAATGGTTCCGCAGAAACTCGATTGATTTCCGTTGTTCTGTCTTGTTTGTTTTGAACTGATTGGACAGTTCACTTGGAAACACGGTCAATAATATCAACCCAAATTTTAATCGCAAAAAGTGATAACTCGAGTCGGAACATTCCGTATGGCAGCGCTAGTGTTTGTAACGTATTTTAATTTGAATTCTTACACATTATTTTTCGAAAGAATTGTTTAAGCTTGGATGTCTGTTCTCTGTGATTATAAGTATTAGTGCAACAAAACCTTTGAATTCACCCAATGTTCTGATACCAAATACAAGACACCAGAAACTCATTCCCCTCTTGAAATGCAACAGCAAATCAAAATTGACTCTACAACTACCTACGTCCAAGAAAATGATGAGCAAACAGACATGGGCCGCATGGAAAAGTCACACGCTTCAATTTCAAAGGAAAGCATGTGAACCATTCCCAATTTCCTGCACCCTTATCCACTTCCTCCTTCCAAGGGGTTCGGTGTTCCATCCGACCTTTGTACTGTTTGATCCAACCAAATTAGACACAAATTATGACAAGCGCTTCAGCTTTCATCCGCAAATATTCACTTACATATACTCACACACACACACACACATTCGCCTGTTTTGCTTGTTTGCTTCGGTAAATGTTTTGCTTTTGAACTTGCTCACTTCCATTCAGTCGGAATGATTATTAAGGATGATGATGATGATGATGATGATGATGTGCTGACGGATCAATTACGATAACGAACTTCGTTAGGAAAATTCGCCGATGTGACATTCGCTCCCCCATTTCTCATACACGTGATTGACATAAACGCTTCAACTGATTGTATATCAATAGCCAATAATGAATGCTTACCTTTCCGAAGCTCCCTTTTCCGATGTTCCTCAGAATTTGAAAGTGGTCAAAGTTAACTGCAAGTAGAATTGGGATAAAATAAAATTCCGTCATTAAAAATGTTGATAAGAACCGTCGCTTAAGCTGAAATCACTTCCCGGGCCCGGAGAAGTTTGCAACAAAATCATTAAAATTCATTTCAAGTAGAAGGCCTTTCCGCCTCCACAGTCCAGATTTGCCATGAAATTCCTTTCCTATGAGCTTACGTTGTTGATGATGACGATGATGATGATGATTATGACAACGAGGAGTGAGGGAGGCGGACAGCCCAACCAATATTCCTAGCCACAGGGATTCCGGGCAAAGTGGATGCCGCTTGTTGACATAACATCGAAAAGATTTCAGAAGATTTTCTTCGCAACGAACGGTCGATTCTTAGCCCATGCCGATTACTTAGTACTATGGAGAGCAGCGAGAAGGAGGACCCAAGGCGAAGAAAGTACGACCCGTGTCATTTTGTGACGGCCCCGGATGGCGCTATAGGAGTAGGAAATGGGCTTCGAGTTTGATGGGAATAAAAAGAGTACTAGATAGAGATATGTATGTCTGTTGCCGTAGTGTGAGACAGCATATTATTATAGTGCTGTGTGTGAGTTTACGATCGACTGCCGGAGGAGCAGATGGATCCGGAGCTAATAAATGTACCCTTGAGTATGCGGAATCGCTTTACTGGCACAAGAGGATGAATGACGAAATTGATTGGGGCCGGTCATATGTTGCGGGTCGTCTCACTGGGAGAGTATTTGAATACGATTAGGTTGTCCGGAAAATTTTGCCCTACATTTGTCATCCTTCCCTTGGGGGGAAAAATTGCCTATTTGATGAATGTTAATTTTATACCCCGAATTCTATCCTATTTCAGTTCCAATGTGCCTTTCATTAAATTCATTCCGGGAAATTGCTACACAAATTACTTTTCAAACTTATCGAGTCTCTTGTATAACCGGATATTTCCGTAGATTTTTGAACTCATCCATAAGTCTGAACTTTCATGCAGCTACTGGAACTGCTCTTAAGATCTCTGAAATTCACCAAAGATCTCTAGATCTACCTTTCCTGAGGTACTTGAAGCTTCTTAAATGTTTGCACAGTTTTCCTCAAATTCACTTCACATCTTTGAATTTCTTTGACTTACGTTAAGTTCTCTTAAAATTCTCGAAATTCCAAGAACTTCTTGAAAGTTTCTGCACATTTTTTGCAGCTAAAGAAACTGCTTGGAAGTTCTTAAGACTTTCTTGAAGTTCTCCATATTTTCAAGATGTTTTAAGAACTTCCTTTATGTTCCCACTGCCCTTACCTCGGGAGATTTTTGAAGTGAAAAAAGTTCAAACTTTGGGGATTTTGCGCCAAATCATGTTACTTTTTCCCCAAACATTTCATGGCACCCTAGTGTATACGTTTGCAATGCGCTTTGTGGATAGCCCTACTGTATTAGTATTTTAAATGCATTCGATTTTAACAGGTTCAGGTTAATTTGGAAGTTACAGTACATTGTGAGATTTCCTCCAGAACTTGGTCGGTTTCATCGACCCTTGCCATGAGTCATTACTTTCGTGAGGAATTCATGAGTGCGACGAACACGAAGCTGAACAAGGATTTTATGAACATTATCCACTCAAGTCCGAACTTGTTCTGGATGTGTGACGAGTGCTTAACTTTGAATAAATGTGTCAGGTTTAAAACCACAGTCTCGTCATTTGGAAGCGCAATCAACTCTATTACCGAGAGGCAAGAAATTGCATATGCTGATGGCTAAACAACGGCAGCGAATTGCTCAGTTGACAAGACGAATCGCGTAATCTACTCCGACAAATCTGAATTCCGTTCCCACCCGTCAACTCCCATTGAAACGTCGCCGTGATGAAGCCCTGCTGACTAACAAACCACTTGTTGGTGGTACTAAAGCGGTGACTGATGCTGATGTTCGGACCGTTCCCGAGCCTGCTGAGTTGTTCTGGCTGTACCTCTCCCGTATTCACCCTAGCGTGAAACCGGAATCAATTGAGAAACAGGTTAAAACTAGCGTTCAGTGCGAAGATCCGGTAAAGGGTGTGCCACTTGTGAAAAAAGGATCCGATACGAGTCACATGAGCTTTATTTTGGAATGGCTCCAAAGCTACGCGAAGTTGCTTTAAGTTCGGATACTTGGCCAGAGGGGATTTTGTTCCGAGAATTCGAGGCCACATGATCAAAGAACATGTGGATGCCTCGTTTGAACACGCCGGCTATCACAATTTCTCATGTTCCGGGTCCTTCGCATTATTCAACTTCCGTCGTTGGATTGGATGGCCTCTAAATAATTCCGAGTTGCATGCAGCGTTGCTGCGTTGCGCTGTTTTCCGTACTGAGTACCAATGCTACCAACGCCAGGAAGACAACTCCCACACCTGGACCCTTTACCTATCGACCTATCAACTCATAGATCGGAGACCTACGGCTTTATTTCCATTCCGAAGGAAGGCATGATAAGAGATTTTATGTCTCAGAACCACCTTGGACGCCTTGCCCTGTTCCTTCGGAAAAGCTATTTAACTCCCAGCGTCGCGTTCTACTCGGCTAACCCCCGGCGGTAGATTCAGCCTACTCCGACGGAGAGTTCTCCCGGCTTCGGCTTTCACTTCGCACTTGTGTGAGTACATTACTACTTTCTAGCTGGTCTTCTCGCCATTTTCGCTGCAGCACTGACATGATCTGCGTTACTGCTCTGCTGACGGCGTTAAAGGCGCCCTCCTGTCGACACATTTCTTCGACGACATTCTCCGCTCTAAGGACGAGCAACTCCTCTCGCACAGCATCAAATCTAGGACATTCGAAGGGCACGTGCTCTGGTGATTCCTCCACATTCCCACACTCCGGACAGAAGGGTGACGTTGTGTGTCCGAACCGATGCAAGCAGCCATGACCAGACAAGAACTGCGTCAAGTGGAAGTTGACTTCTCCATGACTCCTGTTCACCCAGGTCGAAAGAATGGGTATTAGCCTGTGTGTTCATCTACCGTTCTCTGCTGCATCCCACTCCTGCTGCCACTTAGCCATCGACTCCGTTCTCACCATTTTTCGTACTCCTCTGGTTTCTCTCGTCATATAGCACTTGTAGTCCTCCGCCAAGGTGATGGCGATTGGGATCATACCGGCGATAACGCATACTGCCTCCATCGAAATGGTTCTGTACGCACTCACGACTCGCATGGCCATGACCAGGAACGTACTGCTCAATTTCCTTTGGTTCTGCTTCGTTTTCAGCGCTTCAATCCAGGCTGGACCTCCGTACCTTAGTATCGATGAGGACACACTAGCCAGAAGACGCCTCTTGCTGCTGCTTGGACCAGAATTGCAGTTACTGACCAACATCACTTCACTGGGCTATCTGCAGCTTCGCTCCTTGCATCCAGTTACCAATCGTATCTATCGCCTCGGCCGCCAGCATTTCCACTTCTTCCAGCGTCTCACTGGTTACCGTCAAGACGACATCGTCCGCAAAGCCAGCGATCTCAACTCCTTTGGGCAGCTTGAGCGTCAGCACGCCATTGTACATTCCGTTACATAGCGTGGGACCTGGAATGGAGCCTTGTGGAACTCACGCCGTGATTCTAAGCGATTTCTGTCCCGTGTCTGTCTCGTAGACCAGGACCCGGTTCTGGAAGTAACTACTTACAATCCTGCAAAGGTACACACTTAGAAAAATTCATGTAAATTTAGGTGCTCTGAGAGTGACACGTACGAGCGTCAATTTTGACATAAATTTGAGTCATAACAGACGTGAAATATAGCTCAATCAAACGTACTTTTCGTCGAGCAACGAACTTTTCAGTCTCGGAGCACATAATATTACATGAAATGTTTGCTTACGTCTCATCTTTTATGTCAAAGACGGATTCCGTGACGTGTAAAATTAGTTATTTCTAAGTGTGTAGTCTGGAACTCTCATTCTACGAAACGCCTTGGCGATGGCCTCCCATCTGCATCCCATCGCTATTGAATGCATTCTTCACATCTATCGTAATCACGGCGCAGTATCGATTTTCTCTCTGCTTCTGTTTGGAAGCTTTCTCGGCTCTGTCAATCACTGTCCGAATTGCATCCACAGTCGATCTACCTTTACGGAATCCGAACTGCCTCTCCGACAATGCGACAATCCAGCAAGGATATTGGCCTATACGGTGCAGAGTCGCCCGGCGGTTTTCCGGGCTTCGGCAACAGCACAAGCTTTTGTACCTTCCACCTATCAGGGAACTGACCCTCGTCCAGACATTTCTGCAGCACCATCCTGAACATGTCCGGGAACGTCTGGATCGCCGCCTCCAACGCCACGTTGGGAATTCCATCCGGGCCGGGAGCTTTATTCGCCTTCAACCCTTTCACTGCTGCTATGAGTTCCTCGTTGGAGACTTGTTCATTGTTATCTTCATCGTAGGTGGCCAGGTCGTTGGATCATGCTGTGGGAAAAGTCCTTCCACGATGACTTTCAGCACACATTTGGGACACATTTCAACCGGCATAGTTGGACCGCTGATCTTTGCCATCGCGATTCGGTGGCCCCAGGGGTTGGCATTGGCATCGCGGCACAGTTCCTTGAAACTGTTTGACTTGCTCAGCTTTATCTTTCGTTTTAGTGCAGCTCTGGCCTCTCTGAAGACCACCCTGTGCTCCTCTCTATCTGCTTCCGTTCTTGCTCTCTGAACGCGCCTTCTGGCTAGAAGACAACTAGCATGGAGGGTGTTAATTTCCTCGTTCCACCAGTAAACTGGACGCCGCCTGTTCGTTGGTTCCAGTTTCTCGGCATAGTTGTGTCACATGCCCTTGCTAATGATTCGGTCAACTCGTTCGCGCTTAGACCCGGGACGCTGCTGTCTACCCTTAGAGATTCGATGAAGAAATCTTTATTGAATGCCTTCGTCTTCCACTCGCTTACTTTCGTCCTCCGCATTCCCACCGGTGTCCGTTCACCGATACTGTACCGGATCACCTGATGGTCACTATGGGTGTACTCTTCGCACACTCTCCAGTTCATATTTGC